TCTCGGCAATCAGGCCAGTGAGAGATATTCTAGACATCAAAGCCTGCCTCGACACTGGGCCGGGTTTTTGAAGGTCTTATCCAATAGGCCCATGATTTTCCTTTCAAATTGCTGATCGCCTTAGGAAGGAACAGTATTAACATTTTTCTACATTTATTATTATAGATATACGAGGGTTGTCCCAAAAAGTCGTAGACAGGGAAAACAGTTTTGTTTGTCATTGCTAAATTAAATTTATGTCCTTGTCAAAGCAAAAAGTAACATTTTATGATCATGCATTTCAAGTTTCATGATGATATCACGTTAAATAAGAAAATTATGAAAAATTAAAGAAAGGATGTAAGTGTACATCGGTGCACGAAAGCAAACGTAATTTACGTTCCTTATAACGTCATGATCTCCTTTTCTACTTCACACGCGTCTGTTAACATTCAATATTTTTTTTAAAGTGAAAGACCACTCTTGACTTAGGGACTTATTTAAATTCACTACTGTCCTTTTTTGTTTGTTTCTTGTTTTTCTAAAGCAGATTCAAATTTCAATCGAACTCTAGTCGAAAGATCGCCTAACATTATAGGCAGCAGAGAATACACGTTGTTTAACGTCGTTCGTGACCCAGATTGTTCCCCATTGTCTGCGTTTAACAAACAGTATACTTTACTTCTTACATGCTGTAACTATTTTCGGTATAACTCTCACTGAATCTCATATCATTTAAAAATAAATTTTCTATTAAAATCTAGGTCTAATGTCACTTTTGTACTCTTTTTTCTCGTCTTTGGTGTATATTAACCGTATCCAAAACAATTCATTACATCTCCGTGCGCCGGTTACGCGTTTGACGACGTCATTTTCATCAAAGACAATTCCAACAACACTTTGAAAATCATGACACCAATCGTCTGTTTCTGATGCCATTTAAATGAAATTTTGACATATTATTAAGATTTTGATTCGGATTTCACTGATCTAAATTTGAGTTCAATATTTTACTTAGTACTAAAGAAATAAAAGCAAATGTAATAGTTATATGCGAAAAATACAATGTATTCCGTATTTTGTTCGTGCGCCGACAGACCTTATTGGCCTTCATATAAATCGTCCTAATATTATAAATATGAAAGATATATATTTAAGAATTCAAAATTTTAAAGAACATTGAACATGTCATGCCTTTGCAAAATTTGGTTAGTATTGGTTGCATGTTTAAAAAGTTATAAACATTGTCTACGACTTTTTGGGACAACCCTCGTACCCCTATCCTGCCTCGACAAAAGTTGCTTTCACTGGCAATTTACAATATTCGGAAATACTTACTTCAACTGCCTACAAAACTGTTGTTCAGTTTCAAAAGACTGTAGTGTCAGAAGTTGGATTTGTTCTGTTGACATATCAAGTTCTTCACACATATCTGAGATGTCTGACGATGTGAATAATTTGGACTGAGTTGTCACCTGTTGAAGAAGTTAATGGTATGAAAATTATTTCCTTTTAAGAGAACGTTCTAATTTTTTACTTTTAAGTTTTGTTTATATGCCAAATGTGATTAAATCAAATGATTTTCAAACAAATAAATTAATGTCCGAGTTAAATACCTGCACACATAATCCTTTCTGGTTATTTGTTTTCAACTTGAATTTCAGAAAATCAACTATGCTTTCATGATGTTGCTGTTTGAAATAAAGATCTTGAAGAATTTCAGCTTCATTTTTCAGTTTTGTTTTTTCTAAACGCAAAACCGAGTCTGGTGTTGCTGTCCACAAAAGTACACATTCCGCAGCATCAATTACCTACAAAATCTCATGTGTTTAAGATTCTTCTTATTAGAATAAATCAATCATACTCTTTGTGTCCGTATGCATATTAATACGAGTATCATACATTTTATCAGGTTATGAACATTCTGGCATAAATAATTTCTGAAAACATGTCACATGAAGTTTGCAATTTGATGAACCTTACTCTCAATTATGACATTTTATGAAGCCCGTCTTTTAGATGCTCAGGAATAAACATGATTTTAAGGGTAAAATTCTTTTATATAAAATGCAAATGGTCAAGTCAGTAACTCAGATGACCTTAAATACAAGACGTACACTTATAAAATTACAATGTCACACCATTTTCAAAATATTTATTGCTTACTTGCAACTCCTCTTCAGATGACAGGTTTTCTCCATCGAATTCACGAGACTGACAGACATGAAGAATAATAGAGGCACATGTGTCTGCATGATACCCTATAAACACGTCCCCTGCTTGCCAGTCTGTAGTAGCTCTTTCTCTACGAAAATGATATATATACAGCGTTTATTAATTACATTCTGACCATCAACAAAGGTAATTTGGACAACTGATATAAGGTAAGCTGGACTTTTTATTTATCACCAGAATATAATTTTACAAATATTTCCATATTTTAATAACTTAAAAAATTCTTATTGTTAATTGTAGCGCCACCCTATCACCGATTAATTGAATGATTGTATATTGTTTAATGTCCCTCTCGAGAATTTTTCACTCATATGGAGACGCCACCACTTGCACATAGAAAGCTACAAATTTTGATCTATACTTGGCACTCAGTGCCATTGAGCATAGAGGGATCTTTAATTAACCATCACCTACTGTAACATGGGAGCTCTATTTATACGGTCTCATACATGTACGAAGGACCACTCTCCATGTAAGAAAGACCACTGCGTCACGCTAGCGCCCTAAAATCGAGGACACATGTCAAAAACCAGTTTGAATTCACTCATTCTTGAGACAATTCAGTGTCATAATAATATCACTTTGATTAAAGATACCATAGAATCTGATACATCTGTTTCTCATTTGGATATTTTACTTGCAAAAGACGGTAATGGTATTTTAACAACCAAGCTCCATGATATACGTGATGACTATAACTTTTCAATCGTCGACTTCCCTTACTTATTCAGCAATATACCTTTATCACCTGCATACAAAATTTATATATATCTCAGTTGATTCGATACACAAGAGCATACTCTATGTACGAACAATTTCTAAAACGATGTAAATTATTGCCAATCAAGTTGATGAGACAAGAATATCAGCAGTCTCGTTTAAGTCACAAATCGTATGTTCTGTGGTCGATACAATGACCTTGTCAGCAAAAACAATTCATCATTGAGTCAAATTGCTGACTGATTTTTTTCTTGCTAATTGCTAGTCCATTTTTGATACACTGAATTGACAACGGATTTTCCCGTTATTTCCCTATCATTAAAAGGAGGACATAGAGGGTTTGACTGGTCGGCAGGGGATGCTCATTCCTCCATGGCACCCGATCCCACCCCTACTGTTTCAGAGGTCCGTGTTTGTTCTGCTCCTATTCCGCATTGTTTTATAGATGTTCGATCTTGAATACTGTTTCTTTATCTTATACTCGGTAGTAACTGTTGAGTCTACCTTAACCCCGAAATCTATAATTAAATTCCCAATCCTTCCCCTGGAATTTATGAGTTGAACAAACCGATAGGGATGCATGCTTTCATTTTAATTACTTTCTTACATTAATATTTTTGATATAATTAATATTTTAAGCATATATATGTACATTCCATTGCAAAACACTGGTCTCCTATCGTTTAGATTCAAAGAGAGACACTGGACATCTTTTGAAAAAAAAATTCAGGTTTTGTTAAAAGGAGTTAAACAATTAAGAAATACTTTGATAGCAATTTTTCAGCTTTTTTAAAACTATGATCAAAGAGCCACATTTACTTAATCACAAGTACGTTTATGATAAATCTTGCTTGTTTCCCATTTTATTCAATACTTGTAAAATAATTACCTCAAGGGGTCCATATCGTAGGTAACTGTAAACTTTTGGACCCACTCCTCTAACTGCTTTGTAAGCTGAAGTTGTTTTTCAGTGAGAAGCGATAAAACGTTCAAAAAGTGTTTCTCCAACCTGTTGATTAAAGGAATCGGAAATTTCCTGTACACCGTTTCCTTTTCGGCGACAACAATCAACCTAAAAGTTGGAAATAAATGATAAATCAACTATAACCTTTCCAAGCATTTCAGGTGAAATCAAATACTCATAATTTATACCACTCAAATCTGCTACGAATTATGCTTATAAATGCGAATTCGCATTTCATTAAACGATATACTATATAACAAGAGTTCCATGCGGCAGAACGATCACCTGGGTAACTTTTGCTTTACTCCACCTCAGGATTTTTTCACATAAGTGTTACCTCTGCTGGTCCAAACGTTCTTGAGAAGATTTTTTTAAAGATTTCTCCCATATATTTCAATGTTTAACTTCGGTTCCATACAGTGGCCCCACCCTACCGCCGGGGGTTATGATGTGACCATTTTAGAATTGATACTATCCCAGAGTGCTTTCACAGACGTTGCAGGTTTCCTGCCTCAGTTGTTTTTGAAAAAAAAATTAATGACCCCACCCTAATTTTGTTTTTTTTTATTACTAGTATCTTTACTTTTCAGGAGATTTAATTAACCCTTTATTCTTAAACTATTCTCTATCTAAAGCTTCTTTGAACCAATCTTACTAGAAGTTGACCCAGTGGCTTTTAAGATAGATTGCAAATTGTTTATCGGCCTTCTCGAGAAATTTCACTCATATGGAGACGCTACAACTTGCCGGTAGTGAAAGAGCTGCAGTTTTTTCTATACTTGACATTTATGTTCATTTAGCAGGGAGGAATCTTTAGCTCAACAGCACCTACTGTGAAACGGAACCTAGGTTCATACGGTCTCATCCAATGGATCGGTCTCCACATTCCACAGTGGGATTCAAACCCGCCATGTAAGGATCATATACTTACTTTACGACTCTAGAGCAGATGCCCTAACCACTGCGCCACACTGTGACTTGATTTTTGAGAACTTAAAATTAAGAACAGACAAACAGACAACGGGTATCAGAAAAGCTCACTTGAGGTTTCAGATCAGGTGAGCTATGAAGTACCTGAATGTTTTGTTGACTTTGCACTTTACTCTATGACTCCCAAGACCAAGATCAACATATCGTTCACCACCAAATTCGATGTAATACTACAGTTAAAAAAAAAATAAATTAAAGATTTTTTTCCCAACAAAATTTGATTAAATATTTAATTGATAAGGGCACATGATTTACATGTACCTATATACGAGGTATGATCTGAAAGTAATGTCACAACTTTGATAAAATTGCTATTAATCGACGTAAAGCAACAAAATCATACATGATGGAAGCTTTATTTATTTCAGATCAGCAAGGAATATGATGTATACTTTCCAAAATATCGGATTTTAAAGAATGTGCGTTTCTGGTAGTCGCCGCATCTAAATATAGAGTCTTATGACAGATACGCACCGTCATACTTTTACGCGTTTCCCCTTCATTTCCTTAAAAATATTTGTGATCTGCAAACACTTTCACCAATTCCACTTTCTTTAAGAATTCTTGGTACCATTATACACTCACTCTTTTCATAATTAACCCTTATATCAAAATTGTTTTAACAGTAGCATAAGACAAACTTAAAAATTCACATGTCACTCTATACGTCTGTCCTTTTTGACAGCATCAGACACTATTAAATGTTTCCGTCCGATCTCCTATCTTTCGGTCTTTTTGTCCTCTGTTGATCATTCAGTGACCAATCAACCGCCCAAAATTGCTGAAACTATCTATAAAGAAGTCTCCTATTTACATTCTTTATTCAGTAAGTCTAATTAATTAACGTAATTGTCGCTAGTGATGATTCCCATATTTTGAAGCAAAATGCATTACAAATCGTCGAGCCGTTTTTTCCCTATTTCGGCAACCCCTTTGTTCAATTCAACAAAGTAAAACAACAATTTTTATGATCACAAATACCAATGCCGTCATTTAATTTTCAAATAAAGACTAGAAAATGACGAGAACTGTGTCTTTTAAAAAATTGGGAGATTAGTTGCTTTTTTAGAATCTTTTTAATGTGTTTGTAACTTTCATACTAAAAAAAAATACACTTTAAAACGAGACGTTCCGTTGTGACGCGGCGACACCCCTTATACTCTATGTTTTAAACATCTATAAAATAGATTTAAATAAACATTATTAAATTAAAATTTCAATGTTAATTAGATTTACATTTGGGCATCTTTTGGTATATTGTATTTGATAATATGACGCTAAATATAAAAGATATGGACACTGTGACATTACTTTTGGATCAACCCTTGTATCACATGATTATTGTGAAACAAATTAACTCTTTTTAAAACTTTTACATTTGTACATGTCTTATATTGCATTCCCTCTTTTTTTTTAACTTCTACTCTTGCAAGTGCCCACGCCAAAGCCTTCGACTAAGGGTATCATGTGTTTAATTTATTTGTCTCATATATTGGCGTTTTCTTGAAACTTTGCAGAAATATTGCATATGCATGCTATTTGTCCTATGACCAGCGTTAATGAAGGATTTGGCCCTCTTAATCGCTTGTTCGAATCGACAATAATATTCTATTAGAATAGCATATCATAAATGCACTTTTATTTTTCTGCGCTACTGCTACACATAAATTCCAGAATAGAACATAGAACATATTTGATTACAGTTTATAGGGATCTACAAAGATTAATTCAAAGGAATGGAAAAGAAGGACTTCCAAATATGCCAATGCCTTCTGAATTTATATGACTTTTTGTTATAAGCACTTGGGCTTAAACCAAGAACACAAATGAAATATATACTTTTAGTAAAGACTTAAATGTATTTCTGCTTTGGTCTCATAAACCACTAGAATTTTGCGTTGGGATCACTGTTCATTGAAACCGATGCAGCCAAATAAAAGCCGTTGGTACATTATTTTCTAACTATGTTTTGAGAATGTTCTGTTTACTCTATTTTTGTTTACTCCTCCTTTGCCTTTCATTTTTTACATCCTTTTGTGTTCACTATTCTCGTTTTCTGTTTTAACCTCTTCATTTGCATTCATGCTTTTATCACAGTTCACTCATATCAATAAACATTTTAATGCATGTTCAATAATTATATACTGGTAATGAAGTTACATGTTTGACCAAATTGGGTACACTCTTCACTTCCATTTGCTTTTTTATTACTGTTGTTTGTGCTCAATAAGCGCGCCGATTTTTTGTCCTTTCACCGTTTCAGGGCCTTAAAGAAATCAATATTTTTTTAATTTTGGTGAGTACAAAACCTTTATTTCTCCTATCTAAGGAAATAATGAGATGATCAAATACATATTTACTTCTATTACTAGTTAAGTAGAATCTGATTGGCCGAGACAGTCACGTGACCGTCGTGTTTGCTCTGCAACAAAACTTCGTGTTTAACGCATTCGGCTCACCTCGGCTGACTGCTGTACATGTACCATACATCTAGATGTAATTGGCCGAAGTGTGCCAAATTTGTTTCACATTGTGTTCCACGATTGTGACGTCACAATGCAGCGACTGTGGTAATTGCTACTGAGTTCTTTATATCTTTGATTTATTATGTCGATATAACATGGTAAAATATAAATATTTAGAAATATGTTTCCATGAGCAGGAATGAATCTTATTAGTGTATAAATCTGAATGACTTGTTTGATTTTTTATGAAGAGCTCGTGGTGTAACTTACAACTGTTTCATATTGTTCTCATCAAAAGTTTACTTTATTTATTAGATCTTCTTTATATTTCCTG